GGGAACCCCAAGACCAATTTGGGAGCCCCTGGACCGCACTGGGAATGGGTTTGGGTGCATGAAGCCTTACTGGTTTATACTGGGAGATGCCGCCACAGCCCTCAGGGGCTTGGAGCAGCTCCCAGTCCTTACTGGTTTATACTGGTGGCCTCCCAGTCCACGCCTGGGAGCACCGGCGGGCTCTGGTGGCCGGGCAGGACCCCGAGGCCGAGTTGGCATTCGCCGGGGCGCTGCTGAGCCGCGACTTCTCCAACTTCTCGGCCTGGCACCACCGGCTGCGGCTGCTGGCGCCCGCCCGGGGCGGCGGTGAGGGCAAACCTGGGGCGCTGCCACCCGAAAAGCTGAAGGAAGGTGAGAGATTCCCCCTGGGAAAAATTCCCAAAAATACAGAGAATCCCTAAAAAATGTACAGCTGATCCTATAAAGGGGGGCGGGTTTAATGGGGGTCGCTAAATCCCCATTGGGTTTAATGGGGTAGACCTGGTGTCCCTAAAATCCTATTGACTTTAATGGGGTAGACCTGGTGTCCAAAAAATCCCCACTGACTTCAATAGGGTAGACCTGGTGTCCCTAAATCCCCATTGACTTTAATGGGGTAGACCTGGTGTCCAGAAAACCCCATTGGGTTTAATGGGGTAGACCTGGTGTCCCCTAAATCCCCATTGACTTTAATGGGGTAGACCTGGTGCCCCAAAAAATCCCCATTGACTTTAATAGGGTAGACCTGGTGTCCCTAAAATCCCATTGACTTCTATGGGTAGACCTGGTGTCCAAAAATCCCCATTGACTTTAATGGGGTAGACCTGGTGTCCAAAAGTCCCCATTGACTTTAATGGGGTAGACCTGGTGTCCATAAATCCCCATTGACTTTAATGGGGTAGACCTGGTGTCACTAAATCCCCATTGACTTCAATAGGGTAGACCTGGTGTCCCTAAATAATCCCCATTGATTTCAATGGGGTAGACCTGGTGCCCCTAAGTCCCCATTGACTTTAATGGGGTAGACCTGTTGCCTCTCTGTCCCCATTGACTTTAATGGGGTAGACCTGGTGTCCCCAAGTCCCCATTGACTTTAATGGGGTAGACCTGGTGTCCATAAATCCCCATTGACTTTAATGGGGTAGACCTGGTGTCCCTAAAATGGGGAAAAAATTGGGGAAAAATCAGGCAAAGATGGGAAAATAATGGGGAAAATGCAGGAAAAATATGGGAAAAAATGGGGTAAAAATGGAGAAAATTTGCGGGGAAAATGGGGAAATAATGGGGAAAATAATGGGGAAAATGTGGGGGAAAAAAGTGGAAATAATGGAGAAAATAAGGGGAAAACAAGGGGAAAAAATGGGGGGGAAATAGGGAAATAATGGGGGAAAATAAATTAAAAAATGGGGTTAAAATGGGGAAAAAATTGGGGGGAAATCAGGCAAAAAAAGGGGAAATAATGGGGAAATTGGGGAAAAATGACTTTTAATGGCGTAGACCTGGTGCCCCAAAAAATCCCCATTGACTTTAATGGGGTAGACCTGGTGTCCCTAAATCCCCATTGACTTTAATGGGGTAGACCTGGTGTCCCCAAATCCCCATTGACTTCAATGGGGTAGACCTGGTGTCTGTAACTCCCATTGACTTTAATGGGGTAGACCTGGTGTCATTAAAAATCCCCATTGACTTTAATGGGGTAGACCTGGTGTCCATAAATCCCCATTAATTTTAATGGGTACACCCGCACTCCCACACACCTGGGCACCCCTATTCAGATTTTGGGGCGCCCCACCAAGGTTTTGGGGTGCCCCCTTTGCCCCCCTGATATTTTGTGCTGCTCCCTTTGTGCCCCCCCCAGAGCTGGAGCTGGTGCAGAACGCCGTCTTCACCGACCCCACGGACCAAAGCGCCTGGGTGTACCTGCGCTGCATCCTCTCCCGAGGTAACCCGGCCTTCCCTCCCACCCCTGGGGCTCTCAGCTGGATTTTTGGGGTGCCCCCTGAATGTTGGGGTGCCCCCTGAATGTTGGGGCGCCCCCCGACAGCCCCACCGCCGCCGAGGGTCATCTGTGTCCATGTCGACCGCGAGGACGCGACGCTGGCCGTCATCTTCTCCCGGCCCGTCAAGGTGAGTGGGGACACCTGGGAACCCCAAAAATCATCATTTTCCCTAAAATCCCCATTGACTTTATGGGGTAGACCTGGTGTCCACAAATCCCCATTGACTTTAATCGGGTAGACCTGGTGTCCATAACCCCCCATTGACTTTAATGGGGTAGACCTGGTGTCCAAAAATCCCCATTGACTTTAATGGGGTAGACCTGGTGTCCCCAAATCCCCATTGGGTTTAATGGGGTAGACTAAAAACTGCCTAAAAAAACACCCCAAAAACCCCAAACCACCCTAAAATCCCTCCAAAAAATCCGCTCTAAAAAACCCCGAATTCCCATCAAAATCCCATCAAAAAACCCCAAAAATCTCCAAAAAAACCCAAAAAATCCCCTTAAAAAACCCCAAAATCACCCCAAAATGCCCTCAAAAATCCCCACAATGCTCCTAAAGAACACCCCAGAAAAACCCTAAAAACACCCCAAAAATACCACAAAATTACCCCAAAAAAACCCACCCAGAAATCCCAAAATACCCACAAAAAACCCCAAATCTGCCCAAAAAAACACCCAAAACCCCCCAAAACCAACCTAAAAAAACCCCCCCAAAAAACCCCAAATCCGCCCAAAAAAACACCCAAAAAACCCCAAAATCACCCTAAAAAATTCCCCCAAAAAACCCCAAATCCGCCCAAAAAAACACCCAAAAAAACCCAAAAACCACCCTTAAAAATCCCCCAAAAAACCCCAAATCTGCCCAAAAAAACACCCAAAAAACCCAAAACCACCCTAAAATCCCCCCAAAAAATCCACTCTACAAAACCCCAAAATCCCATCAAAAAACCCCAAAAATCTCCAAAAAACCCAAAAAATCCCCTTAAAAAACCCCAAAATCACCCCAAAATGCCCTCAAAAAACCCCACAATGCTCCCAAAAAACACCCCAGAAAAACACTAAAAACACCCCCAAAATACCACAAAATTACCCCAAAAAAACCCACCCAGAAATCCCAAAATCCCCACAAAAAACCCCAAATCTGCCCAAAAAAACACCCAAAACCCCCCAAAACCACCCTAAAACCACCCTAAAAAATCCCCCAAAAACCCCCAAATCCGCCAAAAAACACCCAAAAAAACCCAAAACCACCCTAAAAAAACCCCCCAAAAAACCCCAAATCCGCCCAAAAAAACACCCCAAAAACCCCAAAACCACCCTAAAAAATCCCCCAAAAAAACCCAAATCCGCCCAAAATTCCCCCCAAAAAACCCCAAATCTGCCCAAAAAAAACCCCAAAAAACCCAAAACCACCCTAAAATCCCCCAAAAACTCCACTCTAAAAACCCCCAAAATCCCCCCAAAATTCCATCAAAAAAAACCCCCAAAATACCCAAAAATACCCCAAATTACTCCCAAAACGGCCCAAAAAAATGCTCTCCTAAAAAAACCCAAAAAACAGCCAAATTGGGGAAAAATCAGGCAAAAATGGGAAAATAATGGGGAAAATGCAGGAAAAATATGGGAAAAAATGGGGTAAAAATGGAGAAAATTTGGGGGAAAATGGGAAAATAATGGGGAAAATAAGGGGAAAATATGGGGTGAAATCAGGGGAAATAATGGAGAAAATAAGGGGAAAAATGGGGAAAACAAGGGAAAAAAATGGGGGGAAATAGGGAAATAATGGGGGAAAATAAATTAAAAAATGGGGTTAAAATGGGGAAAAAATTGGGGGAAATCAGGCAAAAAAAGGGGAAATAATGGGGAAAAATGACTTTTAATGGGGTAGACCTGGTGTCCAAAACTCCCCATTGACTATAATGGGGTAGACCTGGTGTCCTTAAAATCCCCATTGACTTTAATGGGTAGACCTGGTGTCCATAAATCCCCATTGACTTTAATGGGTAGACCTGGTGTCCATAAATCCCCATTGACTTTAATGGGGCAGACTTGGTGTCCATAAATCCCCATTGACGTTAATGGGGTAGACCTGGTGTCGCAAAAAATCCCCATTGACTTCAATTGGGTAGACCTGGTGTCCATAAAAAATCCCCTTTGACTTTAATGGGTAGACCTGGTGTCCCTAAATCCCAATTGACTTTAATGGGGTAGACCTGGTGTCCAAAACCCCCCATTGACTTTAATAGGGTAGACGTGGTGTCCATAAATCCCCATTGACTTTAATGGGGTAGACCTGGTGACCCCAAATCCCCCATTGACTTTAATGGGTAGACCTGGTGTCACTAAAATCCCCATTGACTTTAATGGGGTAGACCTGGTGTCCCTAAACCCCCATTGACTTTAATGGGTAGACCTGGTGTCCCTAAATCCCCATTGACTTTAATGGGTAGACCTGGTGTCCCCAAATCCCCATTGACTTTAATGGGGTAGACCTGGTGACCCCAAATCCCCCATTGAGTTAAACAGGGTAGACCTGGTGTCCCTAATTCCCCATTGACTTTAATGGGGTAGACCTGGTGTCCATAAAAATCCCCATTGACTTTAATGGGGTAGACCTGGTGTCCCCAAATTCCCATTGACTTCTATGGGGTAGACCTGGTGTCCAAAAAATCCCCATTGACTTTAATGGGGTAGACCTGGTGTCCACAACCCCCCATTCATTTCAATGGGGTAGACCTGATGTCCCAATCATTTTGCTGTTAAAAATCTCATATTTTGCGCTGGAAATTCCCGATTTTTGGTGAAAAAACCCCTAAATTTTCTGCTTTTTCCCCACCACAGGTGAACCCGACCTGCCCAGAGCTGAAGGTGACCATGGATGGCTCTGCCCTGGCGGGGCCGTGGCGCTCGGGGGAGGGACGACCACGCCCTGGCCACACCTGGGTATCCTCCCCCATGAAGGCAGGAGGGCGGGGCCGGGGTGGGCGTGGCTTGGGTGGGCGTGGTCACCTCACCTGGCACACCTTGACGGGTGACGTCAGCTCTGCGCCCTCCCCGCCCCGCCCACCGACAGCCCCGCCCACCTGGAGGTCACCTGGGCTGGCTCCGCCCCCCGCCAGGTGACGCTGCTGCCAGGTGAGGCCACGCCCCCTCTGACCCCGCCCACTTCTGGCCACGCCCATTCCTCACCTGGCCACGCCCTTTTTCCCCCACAGGTGAGGCTGAGGCTTGGTGGCAGGAGCCAATCGTGGAGCGGGAGCTGTTTTGGTAAGCCACGCCCCTTTTTGGGCAAAACCACGCCCCCTTTTTATCAAGCCCCGCCCATTTTTACCTGTTGGCCCCGCCCCCAGGCCGGAACTGGGCGTGGCCGAGGCTCAGGTGCTGCAGGAGCAGGTCCAGGTGTGCCGGGAGCTGCTGGAGCTGGAGCCCCAGAGCCGAGGTGAGAGCCCAGAAACACCCCAAAATACCCCAAAATATCCCCCCAAAAAACCCAAATCCGCCCAAAAAAAACACCCAAAAAACCCCAAAACCACCCCAAAAAATCCCCCCCAAAAAAACCCAAATCTTCCCAAAAAACACCCCAAAATACTGCAAAAATCCCCACAAAACCCCCCAAAATTCCCCCCAAAAACCCCAAAAAAGCTCCAAAATTCCCCCAGAAAAATCCCCAAAAATACCCCAAAAAAATCCCCCCAAAAGAACCCAAAACTCACCCAAAATACCCCAAAAAAAACCCCAAACCACCCCAAATTTTCCCCAAAAAACCCCAAAAAATTCCCCCTGAAAAGCTCCAAAAATCCACCGAAACCACCCCAAAATTCCCCTAAAAAAACCCAAAATTCCCAAAAAACCCCAAAAAACTCCCCCCGAAAAGCTCCAAAAAAACCCCCAAATTTTCCCCCAAAAAGACCCGAAAAATCCCAAAACCAACCTAAAAAAAACCCCCAAAATTCCCCCAAAAAACCCAAAAACCACCCCAAAATTCCCAAAAAACCTCAAAAATTCCCCCTGAAAAGCTCCAAAAAACCCCAAAAACCACCTCAAAAATTCCCCCCAAACCCCCAAATTTTCCCCAAAAACCCAAAAAAATCCCAAAACACCTAAAAAACCCCAAAATTCCCCCCAAAAACCCCAAAAATTCCCCAAAATCCCCCCAAAAACCCCAAAAAATACCCAAAATACCCCAAATTACTCCCAAAAACGGCCTAAAAATGCTCTCCAAAATACCGCAAAAACAGCCAAAAATACCTCAAAACCAGCCAAGAATACCCAAAAAACATCCAAAAATACCCAAAAACAGCCAAAATAATCTGAAAAATGTCCAAAAATACCCACAAATGCTCTCAAAATACCCCAAAAATACCCCAAAACTCAGCCTAAAAATCCCCCAAAACGACCCCAAAAATGCCCCTAACCCATCCCTTAAATACCCTCCAAAATACCCAATATTCTCCCAAACCGCCCCAAAATTACCCCAAAAACACCCAAAAATTACCCCAAAACCACCCTAAAAATGCCCCACAAACACCCCTAAAATTGCCCCAAAATTACCCCAAAAATGACCCCAAACCATCCCAAAATCCACCCAAAAAACCCCACAATGCCCTGAGAAACTGCCCAGAAAAACCCTAAAAACACCCCAAAATACCCAAAAAACCCAAAATCCTCCCCCAAAAAGCCCCAAAAACCCCCAATAGCACCCCAAGAAAAACCCCAAAACCACCCTAAATCCCCCAAAAAATCCCAAAACCACCCTAAAATCCCCCAAAAATCCACTCTAAAAAACCCGAAATCCCCCAAAATTCCATCCAAAAAACCCCAAAAATCTCCAAAAAACCCCAAAAAATCCCCTTAAAAAACCCAAAAACACCCCAAAAAATACCCCAAAATTAACCTCAAAAAAACCCCCAAAAAACCACCTGGAAATCCCAAAATCCCCCCAAAAAACCCCAAATCTGCCCAAAAAAACACCCAAAAAACCCCAAAACCACCCTAAAAAAATTCCCCAAAAAACCCCAAATCTGAAAAAAAAACCACTCAAAAACCCCCTAAAAACACCCTAAAAAATCCCCCCCAAAAAAAACCAAATCTGCCCAAAAAAACACCCAAAATATCCCAAAAAACCGCAAAAACCCCCAAAACCGCCCCAAAACCCCAAAAAAGCTCCAAAAATTGCCCGCCAGAAAAATCCCAAAATACCCCAAAAAAAATCTCCCCAAAAGAACCCGAAACTCACCCAAAATACCCCCAAAAAAACCCCAAAAACCCCCAAATTTTCTCCAAAAAAAACCCAAAAACTCCCCCCGAAAAGTTCCAAAAAACCACAAAACCAGCCCAAAATTCCCCCAAAAAACCCCAAATTCCCCCAAAAAACCCGAAAAAAATCCCAAAACCAACCTAAAAAAAAACCCCCAAAAATGCACTCTAAAAAGCCCCGAAATCCCCCAAAATTCCATCAAAAAACCCCAAAAAGCTCCAAAAAACCCCAAAAAAATCCCCCTTAAAAACCCAAAAACACCCAAAAATACTTCCAAAATTACCTCAAAAAAAAACCCCCCAAAAAACCCGAAAAAATCCCCAAATTCCCCCAAAAACCCCAAATTTCCCCCCAAAAGGCCAAAAAATCCCAAAACCAACCTAAAAATACCCCAAAATTCCCCCTAAAAACCCCGAAACCACCCCAAAATTCCCAAAAAAACCCCAAAAAATTCCCCCCAAAAAAACCCCAAAAAACCCAAAATTCCCCCAAAAAACCCAAAAATTCCCTCCAAAAAAACGTGAAAAATCCAAAACCAACCTAAAAAAAACCCCCAAAATTCCCCCCAAAAACCCCAAAAATTCCCCCCAAAAAATCCCAAAATACCCAAAAAACTCCCCCCAAAAAAACCCGAAAAATTCCCTGTAATTCCCCCCAAAAAAACCCCCAAAAATATCTGAAAAAACTCCAAAAACCCCAAAATTCCATCAAAAATACCCCAAAAAATACCCAAAAATACCCCAAATTACTCCCAAAAACGGCCCAAAAATGCTCTGCAAAAAACCCCAAAAAACGGCCAAGAATACCCAAAAAACAGCCAAAATAATCGAAAAAATGTCCCAAAAATACCCCACAAATGCTCTCAAAATACCCCAAAAATACCCCAAAAATCAGCCTAAAAATCCCCCAAAACCACCCCAAAAATGCCCCCAACCCATCCCTTAAATACCCCCCAAAATACCCCAATATTCTCCCAAACCGCCCCAAAATTACCCCGAAACCACCCAAAAATTACCCCAAAACCACCCTAAAAATGCCCCCACAAACACCCATAAAATTGCCCCAAAATTACCCCAAAATTACCCCAAAAAAACCCAAAACCACCCTAAAATCCCCAAAAAAAATCCCAAAACCACCCTAAAATCCCCCAAAAATCCACTCTAAAAAACCCCAAAATCCCCCCAAAGATCCATCAAAAAAACCACAAAAAGCCTCCAAAAAAACCCAAAAAATCCCCCTTAAAAAACCCAAAAACACCCCAAAAATACCCCAAAATTACCTCAAAAAAAAACCCCAAAAAACCACCTGGAAATCCCAAAATCCCCCCAAAAAACCCCAAATCTGCCCAAAAAAACACCCAAAAAACCCCCAAACCACCCAAAAAATCCCCCCAAAAAACCCAAATCCGCCCAAAAAAACACCCAAAAAACCCCAAAACCACCCCAAAATCCCCCCCAAAAACCCCAAATCTGCCCAAAAAAACACCCAAAAAACCCAAAACCACCCTATAAAATCCCCGAAAAACCCCAAATCTGCCCAAAAAACACCCAAAATACCCCCAAAAAAACCTGAAAAACCCCCAAAACCATCCCAAAAAATCCCCCAAAAAAAACCCCCAAATCTGCCAAAAAAAACACCCCAAAAAACCCCAAAACCACCTAAAAAATCCCCCCAAAAAACCCAAATCCACCCAAAAAAACACCCAAAAAACCCAAAACCACCCCAAAAAATCCCTCCAAAAAAACCCAAATCTGCCATAAAAACCCCAAAACCGCCCCCAAAAATCCCCCCAAAAAACCCCAAATCCGCTCAAAAAACCCCCCAAAAACCCCAAAACCACCCTAAAAAATCCCCCAAAACATCCAAAAACACCCAAAAATACCCAAAAAACCCCCCAAAATCCTCCCCCAAAAAACTCCAAAAAGCCCCAAAAACCCCCAATACCACCCCAAGAAAAACCCCAAAATCACCCCAAATCCCCCCAAAAAAATCCCAAAACCACCCTAAAATCCCCCAAAAAAATCTGCTCTAAAAAACCCCGAAATCCCCCCAAAATTCCATCCAAAAACCCCAAAAAGCTCAAAAAAAAACCCAAAAAAATCCCCTAAAAAAACCCAAAACCACCCCAAAATTACTCAAAAAAAACCCCAAAAAACCACCCGGAAATCCCAAAATCCCCACAAAAAAAACCCAAATCTGCCCAAAAAACACCCCAAAAATACCGCAAAAAACCACAAAAACCCCCAAAACCACCCCAAAAACCCCAAAAAAGCTCCAAAATTCCCCCCAGAAAAATCCCCAAAAATACCCCAAAAAAACCCCCCAAAAGAACCCAAAACTCACCCAAAATACCCCCAAAAAACCCCCAAACCACCCCAAAATTCCCCAAAAAACCCCAAAAAATTCCCCCTGAAAAGCTCCAAAAAACCCCGAAATTCCCCCAAAAAACCTCAAATTTTCCCCAAAAAACCCAAAAATTCCCTCCAAAAAAACCTGAAAAATCCCAAAACCAACCTAAAAAAACCCCCAAATTCCCCCCAAAAACCCCCAAACCACCCCAAAATTCCCCAAAAAACCCCAAAAACTCCCCCCGAAAAGCTCCAAAAAGCACCAAAATTCCCCTAAAAAACCCCAAATTTTCCCCAAAAAAACCAAAAAAATCCCAAAACCAACCTAAAAAAAACCCCCCAAAATTCCCCCAAAAACCCAAAAATTCCCCCAAAATTCCCCCCAAAAAAACCCAAAATACCCAAAAAACTCCCCCCAAAAACCCGAAAAAATCCCCAAAATTCCCCCCAAAATAACACCAAAAAAATCTGAAAAATCCCCCAAAATCCCCCCAAAATTCCATCAAAAACCCCCAAAAATACCCAAAGAATACCCCAAATTACTCCCAAAAACGGCCCAAAAAATGCTCCCCAAAAAACCCCAAAAAACAGCCAAAAATACCTCAAAAACCAGCCAAGAATACCCAAAAAAACATCCAAAAATACCCAAAAAAACAGCCAAGAATACCCAAAAAACAGCCAAAATAATCTGAAAAATGTCCCAAAAATACCCCACAAATGCTCTCAAAATACCCCAAAAATACCCCAAAAATCAGCCTAAAAATCCCCCAAAACCACCCCAAAAATGCCCCTTAACCCATCCCTTAAATACCCCCCAAAATACCCCAATATTCT